TCAAAGTCAGTTTAGATGAAGGTGTACAATGGAGTGCCCTGGGGATCTATCCACCCTTGGTCCTTTGTTATTTAACATTTTTATGAATGACTTGCCGGAAGGCTTAAGAGTCAAGAATAGGAAGCGTAAAACAAACAAGCTTAATGCTATTTTAGACTATCAGCATCATTAATAAACATTTATTAAGTGCCTTCTTTGTGTCTGACTTGGTGCTTAAGCACTGGGGATGAAAAAAGAGGCAAAAGATAGTCCCTACCCTTAAGGAGCTCACAATCTAAAGACTTACAGTGGGAGATGCAGTGTCTAGAACATCAGAGGTAAAGTCCTGCTGGACAGTTCAGGTCAGCTCACATTTATAGTACTGTGTTGTATCGTCTTCAGATTTAAGAATGCCATTGATAAGGTAGAGAGCATGCTGGGGATGGGAAGATGGGATGGTAAAGGACCTTTAAAGCCATATGAGAACTAGTTGAAGGAACTGGGTCTACTTAGCCTAGAAAAGACAATGAATTGAGGGGGTAGGCAGAGAAGGGCATGATATGTTTTTAACGAATCTGAAGGGCTGTCACTCAGAAGAGAGATTAGAAAGTAGAATTAGAACCAATTGGTAGAATTTTTAAAAGGCTAATTTAATCTGAGTATAAGGCAAAACTTCACGATTAGTGCTTGCCTCCCCTTCCCTGGAGGTCTTCAAGGAGAAGCTGGACCATCACCTGTCACGTTAATGTGCTGAAAAAAGGATTTTTGTTTCATTATCTATGGGTGTGTCTGAACTTCCCACTTTGAGACTCTGAAAGTCTGTAAAACTCTTAGGGGAGAGCTAATACACTGTTTAATTAAGAAGCCTTGAAAATATAGAATAGTATGGTGAGGAACAATATATATAGGAACTATATATATATATACTTACATGTACACACACACACATGCACATGTATATATATATATATACATATATAGGAACAGTATGGTGAGAGAAGAGAATCACTTAGATGAGGATGTTGTTCTTTAGTCTTTTTCCAGTTGTGTCCAACTCTCTGTGACTTGATTTGGGGTTTTCTGGGCAAAGATACTGGAGTGGTTTACTATTTTCTTCTCTAGCTTAGTTTACAGACAAGTAAACTGAAACAAACAGGATTAAGGGATTTGCCCAGGGTCACAAAGAAAATGTCTCTGGCTGGATTTGAACTCAGGTCTTCCTGACTCTAGTGGTGGTCTATTCATTGCCTAGTCTTAGTTTACTCATTTATAAAACCAGGAGGCTAAGGAGAACAATACACACAAAGACATTGATGTAAATAAAAAACATGAAGGGCAATAGATCTCTAAGGGTGTGTTAAGTTTTTGAGAACCAAAGATTAAACACATTCTTTTTTCTCAACAGAAAGCTGGGGCACCTTGGATGTAGAATGGGGTATATATACTGTTAGAATGGGTTCTTCATCTCTATCTGGGTTTGCTTATTTTTTTTTTCTGAGGAAAGGTTCAAAGGTAGAAGAAATAGGATATAATGGGGGAAAAGCTGTGTATAAAAGGACAGCTAGGTGTCACAATGGATAGAGTATTGGGCTTGGAATCAGGAAGATTCATCTTTATGAGTTCAAATCTGGCCTCACAGTCTACCATCTTTGTGACCCTGGGCAAACCACTTAACCTTATTTGCTTCAGGTCCTCATCTGTAAAAGGAGCTGGCAAACCACTCTAGCATCTTTGGGTCAGGAAGAGTCAGACAGGACTGAGCAACAAAAATGGTGTAAAAGCAAAAGATGTCAATAAAACTCAAATAAAATGAGGGGGCTGTATTGGGCATACACACACAAACACACACACACACACATATATGTGTGTATATATATATATATATATACATTTATATACTGCTCCTTGGACCAACACTGTCCTCCCTAGAGTGAGTCAGGATACGTAGTAATTCCAGAGAAGTAGCCAGTGCTGACCAGACAGATCAAATTTATCTGAGAAGACAGCTGTGTAATTGCTGTGTACCTATCCCAAGTCATGGCATTCAGACATGCACAGGTGGCTATCTGGAGAGCAACAGAAGAACATGACATTACCCTCTGTGTCACAGGAAATTACCACGGAATCATAAGCCCTCAACTAGAAAAATAAGCTGAGCCCTTAAAAACAAAAACAAAAACAAAAACAAAAACAAAAATCAATCTGGGAACAGAAAATTTAATTAAAATGGAAGATATGATCCCTAGTGGCACTGTTGTATTTCTTCAGTCTAATGATGCTCTTGGCTCTAAAAGGCTTTCTCAGTTCTAACAGCAGTTAGTTTGGAAAAGGCTGAACAAGAAAAACATTTTTTTGCAGGATTGCAACTTTTCCTCCCCTAAACAGTTTGTAAGGCTGATCAATGTTTGGTGACATGTTTAAGTAGTATCAGACACAACAGGCCACTCGTTTGATCTTCCATTTTATAAATAAATTTTAAATGTGAAACTATACTATTTGCCTTCTGGGCTTTGTAGGTACTTTCCTCATTAGGAATTCACATTGAGGTACCAGCTCTAAGTGTTGCATTAGCACTGTGGGACACCCTCAAGGTTTGGGTGGGACAGACAATAAAAACCTGGGGAAATGGAGGAGGGGAAAGACCACTGGCTTTAGAGTCAAAGGTTTTTTGTTCAAATTTTGCTTCTGATCCTTGTTGAGTTTGGACAAATTAATTGTCCTCCCTGGGCCTTGAAATGTAAAATGAAGGTATTGGACCAGCTGACTTCTGCGGTCTTTTTCAGTTCCAGATTTAGGATGTTAGTTCATTGGTGCGTGCGTGCGTGCGTGTGTGTGTGTGTGTGTGTGTGTGTGTTGGGGAGGGGAGAGACTCTTGGCTTGGCTTTCAATAATGCATAAAGCAACTCTTAAATTTATCTTCTTAAGACAGTTTCCTGGGTGCTTTAAGATGTCAAGTGACTTGGCCAGAGTCACAGCATTGTGTCAGAGATAGAATTTGAGCTCCAACGCCTACTGGCCCTCTAAATGTTATGTTATGCTGCATCTCATAAAGAGGGAAAAGAAAAAATTAAGAAAGAATTGGGACAATGCTGTCAGAAGAAGAAAGTCAATATTCAAAGGAAATAGGAAATAAAAGGAAGAGAATGGAGGACTATTATATCAAGATAGGACAGGAGTATAAAGCTAAGCTTATTGTGTTTTTGAGTCATAAATTTATGAAGACCATAGGTTTCCTTCATGAGATGGCCTATGAGCTGCATATCAACCCGGGTAGTGAAAAGAGAGCTGGGTTCTATGCCCAGTTGTTACTAACCAGCTCTACATGAATAATGCTTGTCATTAAACCTTCTCTGTACCTGTTTCCTCACCTAAGAGCCTAGGATCTCTAAACATCCCTTGCAGCCAAAACACTAGATTCTTTTGGTATAAAAGAAATTCCCTATGACCGATTAGATTATTTAACCTTGGCAAGAGTTATTACTGGAAGTGGTGTGAGTCTGAATACTTAATTCTGTACTCTGCAGTCTGGGCTGGGAAGATTCATAATTCATTTGGTCCTTCTGTCCTCGCTATGTGACCACCATATTTCTATTGTCTAGACTGTTAGACTCCATGTGCAATTAAATCAAAGATCACTGTAATTTCAACAGGTGTGCAGAGTTATTTTCCTTATTATCGATCAGCCCCAACAGTTTCTATATTTATTACTAGCAACTCAGGAAGCACCTTAAGGACTTTTTAAAAGAGATTTTCCAATGCTTCACTTGTGTATGCAAAGAAACTGCCGAGTAAACCTACATTTATGACACAGACATGGCAGGATGTTCCAATTAAGTGGGATCCTAAGATCTCAGATTAATGCTTTGAGGTGGGGAAGGGGTGAAACACCACGAAAGAGGTCTGGAAATTTCATTCTCAGGAGGCATTAGAGGAGAGGGATCCCGGTCCTTTTTAAACCATCCAAGCCGTGGATACCGACTTCTGCAGACACTGGGAGGGTAACTTTTGCTCTATCTTCCAGAAGAGGGAGATTTTTCTGCAGTTCCAAGTTTTTGAAAGGGGCTGTCTTACGGCAGACTTACAAAGGCTTTGGGAAGCAAGGGAGCACCTGTTCTCCTTTGGACTGGGTCCACGAAAGGCCCAGGGGTTCGCGGCCACCCCGTTACGTTGAGGTCAGCCTCCTGGGTCTTTGGAGAGCCCTCTCCTCCTCAATTACAGACCTTCCAGACACCGGATATCCTCGCTGCTTAACTGGCAGGGGCCACGCGGCTGCACTCCTGTTTCCTCTGACAACTACCACATTATTTCCACTCTTGTTCTAAGTCTGTAGCCTAATCTAGGGGTGTGTGGGGTGTGTGGGGCGTGTGTGTGTGCGCGCGCGCGCGTGTGTGGGATTCTCCGCCTCCCCCCCCAAATCTATTCCACTTATCCAGAATTAAGTAGAAGAAAAATCCTACAAGCTCCTCGCCCACAAATGGGGGGGTAAGGGCCTGGCCTCCCCTCCTGCCGCCGCCGGGAGAGCTCCGGGGAGGATACGGGCGGAGGATGCAGGGGCTGAGAGCGAGCGCCCGCTCGGGGCCACGTGCTCGCCTGCCCAGCCGCTCGGGCGGGGCCTCCTCATTGTCAGCGCCCCCGCCCCCGCCCCCCGCGTTCCATCCCCCCTCCCTATCTGTGTCGCACACACGCGCGCACGGCCCAGGAGCCCCGGCGGAGGCTGGGGGAGGCCCGGGCGGCGGCGTGGGCGGGGCGGGAGGGGAGGGGACAGGGGCGGGGGCGGGGCGGGCGCGGGGCCGGGGCCCGGGCCGGGGCGGAGCGGCGCCTGAGGGAGGAGGGGGAGGAGGCCGAGGGAGGAGGCGGCGGCGGCGGCGGAGGCAGCTGCAGCAGCAGCAGAGGCAGCAGCGGCGGCGGAGGCGGCGCCCGCCTGCAGCCCAGCCCGCAGCGGAGCCCGGAGCGCGAGCACCCGCAGCAGCAGCGGCAGCAGCAGCGGCGGCACCGGCAGCAGCAGCGGCAGCAGCAGCAGCATGGCCCGGCTCCCCTGCCCGCAGCCCGGAGCCTACTGCCGCGCCGCCACGGCCGCGAACCTCCTGTTGGGCCTCTTCCAGCTCCTGTGGCCCTGCTGCCGCCCGGGAGGGGCTCAGGCACAAGGTCAGCCGGGCCGGGGGGGTGGGTGCTGCTGTCCACAGCCCAGAGTGTCCACGGACCACCTAGGACCACTGCATCCCCCCCTCCCCCGCCTCAAAAGAAGGGGAGAGAAAGAGAGGAAGCGAAGTTAGGGGGTGGGGGAATGCGAGGGAGAGCCGCTAGCTGCCAGGGGGTTGGGGGGGCGGGCCCGGCTGGGTTTCCCTCCTCTGCCCCCCTCCCACCAACCCCTCCCCCGGCTTTGTGCATGCGGGGCGCCCCGCGTGCGTGCCTGGAGCGGGGCGAGCGCAGCCCCCGCTTTGTGTGAGTGCTAATGGTTCCCAGCCCGCAGGAGCAGACGGAGCGGGGCCAGCCTGGCCTGGGCCGGCGCTGCCGGCGCCCGCTGCGCTGCCCTGTCCGCTGCCTCGCTCTGCTTTGGCCTCCTGTCCTGGCCTCTGCCGGTTTGCCCCGTCCCTGTGCCCCGCGCTGCCGGCCTCTCCGCTGCGGGCCTTTCTCCTCCGCTCCTCTCCACTTTTCTCTCCTTTCTACCTCTCTTCTCCTTCTCCTCTCCTGTTCTCCTCGCTTCTCCTCTCCTTCTCCTCTCCTCTCCTCTCCTCAATTCTCTCCTTTCTTCTCTCCTGTCCTGTCCTCTCTTCTCTCCGGTCCTCCTCTCTTCTCCTCCTCTCCTTTCCTCTGTTTCTCTCCTTTCTTCTCTCTTGTCCTCCTCTGCTCTCCTCCTCTCCTCTCCTTCTCTCTTCTCTCATGTCCTGTTCTCTCTTCCTCTGTCCTGTCCTGTCCTCTCTTCTTCTCTCCTCAGCCCCCCACTTCCTGGTGCATTGTTCCAGCCGGCCAGGGCTCCTGTTGCCCCTCTTCTTTACATTGGGGTTTGGAAATGACAAAATGAAGAACGGCAACCCCCACCCCTCTTCCTCTGGTTCAGAACAGCAATGCTTTTTAGAATCAAAGTCATACAATTCCCCCCCTCCCCCCCCCCAAAAGAGAGAGTCACCATTTGGCCTTTCTCTTCCCTTTACCAACCTCTCTTCATCTCCCTCCCCAAACTGGTCTTGCCCAGAAACCTGACTATTCCTTCTTTCTGTCCTGGACAAGTGACTGAAACTTATCAGTGTGCAGACTGGCTTTTGAACTTTGTTTCACTGCTTTCCCTTTCACTCCAACGGTGTGATTTTAAAAATTAAAGAAAAATTAATGGTTGGGTTAAGAGAAGATAGTGTAACCTAATAGATTGGGGTTTTTTTGTGATTTTAAAATGCATTTTTTGGGTGTTCCTCTAGTCGTTGAGCCCCTGCCCAATGTGGTCGAGCTGTGGCAGGCAGAAGAAGGGGAACTCCTGCTGCCCACTCAGGTGAGACAGTGACGGTTTTTATTTTGTGTGTGTATGTATGTGTGTGTGTGTATGTGTGTGTTTTTTGTCTGTGGCCAGAGGGGTGTGTAGGGGTGTGTGGAGGAGGAGAGACCTGGCCAGCCACCCCTTGGCAGTCTATGCAGCACCCATGTCAATTTGCAAAGCAAATAAATGGTGTAGCCAGGCCAGAACACCTGGCAACAGTGTGGCCTTTCCCATCCCCCTCCCCCTCCGTGTGATGGGGCCTGTGAGTCATGTTGGCCTCAAGTTCAGGAGAAGGGGTGGGGTGTAGGGGCCACCTTGCCAGAGCCACAGTCAGCCAGCTAGCCACGAGCTCAGTTAGGTGGTGATAATGGTGAAGAGAAAAGGGCAATTTAAAGAATTGCCGTGAGTGTAGGATATTGGGTTTGTCAAGGGGGTCCATACAGACACTAGTCGCTGCCAGTGAAGAGGACCATTCCTTTGGGAAGGTGACTCATTTAAAAAGGATAAGAGACTAGCTTCTGCCTCTTACTAGTTAGTGGTAGACCCTAGTTGGACCAAGTGCAAAATGAGGGAGTATTATGTGGATGGATGACCCACAGGATGGGAGGGGATGAATTAGGACTCCTGAGGTGCCACATACTTGGAAAATGGTGAATGCTATGGTACATAAATATTAATAAGCGGTAGTTTGCATTAGTATTAAACAGCTTTAGGTTAAAGGTATTTATTTTTAAAATATGCTAATGCCCTTTGGATTCTTTCCAGACTTCTCCAGTACATTTTCGAATACACCCACTTAAGAACTTGAATTTCAGGTTTTTTTTCCTATATGGTGATATAATAATAAATGCAAAGGAGAAAATAATTGCTCTAACGTTTTATGTGAATCTGTCACATAGCACAGGGATTGCTACCACTGCAGATTCACTATTGCACAACTTTGTTGATTGATTTAATGGGAAAAATTCTATGGCCATAGAAAAAGTACTTGGTTAGTAGGTTTTTTTGAACTCTGTTAAGAAAAGCATATCCTTTTTGGGCCTTATCTGGTTCTCATCTGTAAAATGAGGGAATTGGAATAGTGAGGCTTTCAGTTTCTTTCCAGCTTTCAGTCTGTAACCTTAAGCATACTCTTTACTTGTGTGTCCACGTTTGCAATCAGCTTGGGGTATCATTTGAAAGATAAAAGTTGTTTCTGCTCATCCTGTTTGAAGGACTGTATTCTATTTTGGTGTATTCTTCCTTCATTCCCGTTTTTGAACGGTAGGAAATTGAGAGAGAATTTTGCACAGAAGAAAACACATGTTGAAATGTAAAGTCCGTGAAGAGTCCTTGCAAAGTATGCAAGAGGGCAAGGATTTAGTCTGACATTCATCTTTGCCAGTACAAATATGGACTTGCTACCATTAGGGCTAAGAGGTGATTTCAGGGAAAGTTTTTCTAGACACTCAGACTGCTGGCCTCTAGTGAAGAGGATCATTCCTTTGGGAAGGTGCCCCATTTGAAAAGGATAAGAGACTAACTTCTGCTTCTTACTGGTTAGTGGTGCAGGCCAAACCAGAGCCAGAAAGAAGTTAAATTACAGACTCTCTCCTGTCATGTGTCTTAGGGTTTGATGATTAAGTCACTAGTCTCAGAGGAGGAAACGTCAGACTTTGTGGTTGTAAAGAGATTATTTTACTGGCAGGTATATGATTGGCCCCAGTTCTTAATTTTTGGTTTCATTAAATAGAATATTTGCACTCAGTTTTGAGTACTGTAACTGATTAAAAGCAATTCTTAGCTAGAACATACCACCACAGAAACACTCTTTAGAAAAAAAAACAAACCTTAAGGTCTAAAAATTCTGTACAGTTTTAGTTGTAATGAAAGTGAAATGAGTGGTATTTGAAACAGTTATTCAAGTATGGTACCTTCCTTTCCATGTGTGTACGTGTGGTGATCTTATACAATATTTTAGCTTTCATGTACCTAGAAAAAATAGTCTATGACTGAAATTTCAGAAAGGGAAGTTTGTCACTTTAAAGTCAATCTTTTCAGAATTTTTTTTTAAATGGCAGACATTGATTTTAGAAATTCTTCCTTTTGGGTCTGGAAAAAATTTTTAAAAAATCACTTCTGGATATCAGTTCATTGGAACTGCTAAGTTTACTTCCACTGGCCTGTTAATAACTTTGATTTTCTATGTAGTGGGAATGGGGAGTAAGAAGAATTTGTAAAATAGATTTTGAGTCACAGCAGTGACAGCGACTTAAGAGCAAATTGGGGGGCAGCTAGGTGGTGCAGTGGATAGAGCTCTGTCCTTGGAGTCAGGAGGACTTGAGTTCAAATTCGGCCTCAGACACTTGACAGTTACTGGCTGTGTGACTCTGGGCAAGTCACTTAACCCCAATTGCCTCACCAAAAAGCCAAAAAAAAAAAAAAAAAGTAAATTGGGAGCATCAGAAGAGATGACGTTTGCCTCAGAAAGAAAGGTGGTACCTGCAGATATTTGCTGATGCTTATTATTTACACTGACTTTATTTTCTACATGTGTAGGATTGAGTTTATTTCCCCTTTCCTCTTCCCCAGTCCTTGCCCCTTAAATAGTCACACTCTTGAATAAAGATGCATTAGAAAGAACTCTGCATTAGGAGACAGAACACTGGCTGTTGTCCCAGCTCCATCACTACTTAGCCACGTTTCCTTGAGCTAGTTGTGATCAGACATAGGCTGAAAGGACCTTAAAGATTGGCCGAGTTCAGTCTTCTTGAAATGAAGGCTGGATGAGGTTAAGGAATTTGCCCAGTGTTAGTAGGAGAGATTGGATTCAGACTTGGGACCGCTGTTTCTAAATCCGATTCCCTTTCCCTAAAAATTTTTAAACATACAAAAGCAACTTTTCTTACGATAACCCTGTAAAATACATAGAAAAACTATTCTCACTGCTGCCTTTCAGATAAGGAAAGGGAGGTGTGGAGAGATTAAGAGGATCGTCTCATGACTAGTAAGTGTCAGGGCCCAGGACAACCACAGGGCTCCTCATTCTGAGTCCTGGACTTTCTCCAATAAACTTTACCGCCTGCCTCTCATTGCCTTGGAAGGTCTTAATTTTCTCATCGGTAAAATGAGGGTGGTAATACTTGAACTCCCCATTTCACCTAGTTGTGAATATCAGATAAAATAATGTACGCGGAGCTGATCAAGCCTGCTATTCTTTATGATCTAGGGAATCTGATGATGGATGGAGAGCTTGGGTGGAACAAAAAGATACAGAAGGAAAGGAAAGAGGGTACTGGGAGCATTGGAGGACAGATTCCCTCTGGAGGATTTATGGAAAGATGGATGAAAATGAGAGTGATACAATTTCCATTGGTGGAGGCTGTCACTGATTAGGTTACAATTCATCTGATGATGGATCACTAAAAGTAGCAGTTAAATGTAAGGGTTAATAATTTAATCCTGATCTTTTCTGGGTGGCAAGGAGTTACTTTCCCTTTCTGACTAAGTTGCTAGATCAGTACTGAAAGTTTAAGCACCATTGTATGTATTAGACATTGTTGTTGTTCAGTTGTTTTCAGTTGTGTCTGACTCATCATGACCCCATTTGGGATTTTCTTGGCAAAGATACCGGAGTAGATTGTTATTGTCTTCTCCAGCTTGTTTTACAGATGAGGAAACCGAGGCAAACGATGACATGACTTGCCCAGGGTCACACAGCTAGTAAATGTCTGAGGTTGGATTTGAACTCTAGTCTTCCTGACTCCAGGCCCGGCCGTTCTATCCACTGCATCACTTAACTGCCCTTAGTATTAGACATTTTAGGGTTTCAGTTCATGCTATATCTTTGATCTTCTTATTGTGATGTAAAATATTTTGGCAGGTAGGAATATAGACCACTTCCTTTATGGAATGAGTCAAGAAGAGATCTCCAATAGGCGATGGGGTTAAGTGACTTGCCCAGGGTCACACAGCTAGTAAGTGTCAAGCGTCTGAGGCCAGATTTGAACTCGGGTCCTCCTGACTCCAAGGCCAGAGCTCTATCCACTTGCCACCTAGCTGCCCCCTATCCTGTATATATCTTGTTTTTACATAACTGTTTGCATGTTGTTCACCTGCCTCCCAGAGCTCCCTGAGCTTTTGAGAACAGGAACTGTCTTTTAACTTTCTTTATATGGCCAGCTCTTAGCTATGTGCCTGGCATGAGGGGAGACGCTTAATAATGCTTCTTGAATTGACTTGGAGATTAGAAGAAAGAGGTGGCAGAAGAGTATCTGGAAAAGAACTTTGGGCTAAGACTCATGATCACCTTTGGGATCTAACCTCATTGAGACTTGGTTTCCAAACAGGTCCTTTTCAACGCTGAGCTCCATAATTTATCTTTTGGATTTATTAGAATCTTTTCCCTCGTTTAAGCATCTTTTTCATAATGCTTTTGAAGTTTGTTCAAGAACTGTAATACATGGATCTTTGCAGTTTTGAGGGAAGTACTTCTTATAAAGGACTTCGAATCTGGAGGACCTGAGTTCAAATATGGCCTCAGACACTTACTAGCTGTGTAACCCTATGCAAGTTACTTAACCTGTTTGCTCGGGGATAATAATAATCTCTACTTCCAAGCATTGTTAAGAGATTAAAACGAGATAATATTAAACATTTTGCGAACCTTAAAGTACTAGCTATTATTGTTATAATTATAGTAAAAGGGGAAGTCATTCCTGCTCCCTGTGTTGAATCCATTTTATTCCGTGGTGATGGCCTTAGAATAATTCCAACAAATTCAGCAAATGTTAACTCATTAAATGTCAGTCATTATGAGCTACTGGTCACACCAAATTAGTAAAGAAGGACTTCCTTGGTTTAGGCATCATGGGCTTATGAAACTCATACAAATTTTTCCAAAAGTATATTATTGTTTTTCATTTTTAAATGTTGCTGTTTGTTTTGAACATTGTAGAGAGTTCCCAATATGTTCTTGTTAGACTCTTCCTTAATTGACTCCTTTCTTTTAACAACAACAACAATAACAAACAGCCGCATAACTGAAGGACAAGGGGGCCACGTCTAACATAGGCTTCTTCACTCATGGTTCACCACTTTTCTAACAAAAAGTGGATAGTTGAGCCTTTTGTTCTTTATTCTGCCGAACTGGGACTATTGTTGCAACTAATCTGAGTTCTAATTTATTGTTAATTAATCACTGCTTTTTGGCTTTGTGGTACTGTGTGTGAAAGAGAGAGAGCACTGAATTTGGAGGCAAAAGGTCTTGGATTCAAATGTTGGCTCTACTCATTACTACTTGTGTGAAATTGGAAAAGTTATTTCACCTCTCTGTAAAATGAGGGGATTGGACTGTTGGACCTCAAAGATCTCTTTCATCTTTAAATCTGTGATCTCATTTCTCCCCAAAGCCCAACTAATATCACTTCACCTTGTTGCCTAGAAGTCCAAATTTAATGAGCCTGGCATTTGAGGCCTTCTGTAGGCTTGTTGTTTAAACATTTTTGGTCGTGTCCAACTCTTAGTGACTCCTTTTGGGATCTTCTTGGCAAAGATACTGGAGTGGTTTGCCATTTTTTTCTCCAGCTCATTTGACAGATGTGGAAACTGAGGTAAACAGGGTTAAGTGATTTGCCCAGGGTCACACAGCTAGTAACTTTCTGAGGCTGGATTTGAATTCAGGTCTTTCTGATTCTAGTCCTGGCCCTCTATCCACAGTGCTACCTTACTGCCCCCGGTAATCTTATTGCCTCCTCACAAATCATTTCCTGTTTTTTCCCTACAATTATTCTCTCCCTAGCTAATTTGTTCTATTCACTGTTGCCCGTATAGGTCCTGTTTCTCCTCATATTTACTTAGATTGTTCCGTGTGTCTTGCCTTTCCAGTAGTCTCAGTGAAATTCTTCTCTTTGTACAACCTACTCAAGCTGTGGAATGTTCATCTGCTATCCCAGTCCTTGGTGGTCACTCTACCCTTCCAGCTCCTCTTATGTATCCTCCATTGATAACACTCTTCTAGTAATTATTAGGTGCTACCTATTAAGTATTGTCATTTATCTTTGTCCTATCTTTTCTTTCTTTTTTGGGGGGGCGGGCAATCAGGGTTAAGTGACTTGCCCAGAGTCTCACAGCTAGTAAGTGTTAAGTGTCTTTGGCTGGATTTGAATTCAGGTCCTCCTGACTCCAAGGCCAGAGCTCTATTCACTGCGCCACCTACTTGCCTTGTCCTATCTGTCCTTTCATTAGAATGGGGGCCCTGTCTCATAGGTCTCTGCAGCCTTTGGGACAGTTCCCCATATAGGATAGTTGGTTAGAAATGGGTATTGGTGATAGACACTCAAACGTTATTTTCCCTTGAGCCCCCGTAGGGTTAAAACTACCCTTTTCAGTGACTTCTTTGAACTTTGATGCTTTCCCCATCTTGGATGTGTGCAGGTCCCAGATGGCAGTAGTGGCTGTCCTGAAATTTTCAGTATACTTTTCTGGTTTTGTTATTTAGTCTTATTTTGAAAGGAGGTATACGTTAGAAATAAGAATAAAGTACCTCTCTTTGGTTCATTCAGTCTGTTAACACAAAGAACACTCTTGAATGGCCCTGGTGTGAGAATAGTTTGAAGATAGGGAGGAAGGACCGTTTGTTCTAGGCTGATACTGGCCCATCATATAGAGAGTAACTTTTATGAATACATGGAGGCGACTTTTGGCTTGAAGTAGTAGAAAGCCTCATGAATCTTGCTTTATTTTTCCTTCTAAACTAAAGAACAGTAGATATTTAATTTGGTAGTAAGTTAAAAAAAAAGAATATGTTGAATCTCTACATTTTTTCCCCATATATACATTATCTCAAATATCATTCTTGGTCTCTATTTTAAGGAAAACCATTTTCCCTCTCTTGGTTCATTAGTGCTTTGTAAGAGGCTTTATAATATAGCATTAGTTTCCCAGCTGGGAAAAAAAAAATTCTGCAGTCCGGCTATAGGAGAGAATTCAGTAAACTCTAAGGGAATGTCCAAATCTTTTTTTTCTTTTTTAATTGTTGTAGTCTTGTTGGCTGCACTAGGGTGTTACATTGAACATTCCAGTGCTTGGAAATTTCACTTATACAGTGATGTGTCTTTGTCGTTCTACTCAGAGGTTTGCCCTGAACAAGTATTAGTAATCCATGTATTTTTGACAGGGTGGCGTGTTCTGATGATGAAAAGCAGGGTTGGAGTATGTTTTCCTTAGGAAGCTGCTTCACCTTTCTGATCTTTCCCAGTTTTGTCATCTGTGAAATGAGGATTATAGCATCTACCTTCCAGTATTTTTATGAGAATCATTAAGGGCTGTTAAGGGCTGTTGACAGGATTAAATGAGATAATATATTTAAAACACTTCACAAACTTTACAACACTGTGGGAAATTTAAAGCACCATATAAATGTTGCTATTAATACTACTACTTCTAGTAACCATGTGTGTCAGAATAGGACTTGAACTCAGGTCTTCTTGCTTTCTGGACCAGCCTCTTATCTCCTATGCCATGTTGCCTTAACTAAGAATGATTCAAATAATACATGATCAAATATTAAGTTGTGTAGTGAATACTATAGGGATTCAGAGAATGGCAAACCCATTGAGGGCCAAGAGTAGTCAAGGAGGGGCTTATGGATAAGGTAATCAGAAGATTGAGGGTATAATTTTGGGAGGGCATTAATTGGGGAGGGGCTTAGATCTGGATGAAAAGAGGCAAGGATGGGGAGGGCAAAGAGGGGACACATAACAGGAGACTAACTTGATTTGACCAAGATTAATTTCCTGTTGGTAAACAGTTGGAAAGGTTGGATAAGTATAGTGGGGGCAGATTTGGAGGGGCTCAAGTTTCAAGGCTAAAGAGTTTGGAGTAGATTTCCTAGGTACTACTGAGTGATTTGTTCATGATGAATGAGTTCTGGGCATATAAGTGCTGTTAACAGGATTCTACCGAATTGCTTTTTCCAATGCTTAATAAGTACTTATTCAGTCGGTCCATTGGATATGTTAATTTGTAAATGATGTGAAAGGTGGATTGGTGCCAGAAGAGACAGGGAAAGATTTTAGAAAGCCATTGCAGTTGTTTTGGCATGATGTAATTTTAGGTCCAAGGGAGAAGACTTGGATCTGGGCAATGACAGTGGGAATGAAGAAGCAAGAACACATGTGGGACACTTCAGGAGTGTAGAGAGGCCTCAGTGATTATATGTGAAGAAGGAAGAAGAGAGAAATGCAAGATGCCTCCAGAGTTTAAGCCTGGAAAAGGATGGTGCCATTTACAGTGAACAGATGTTGGCATGGGGAGCACTGGTTGGGATATAAGTTAATTTTTAGGTAATAATGGGAAAACCCAATGGGAATGCCCTCAAGGCATTTAGAAATACTGTACGGAAGTTTGGGTGAAAGTTTGGGACTGTAGGTAAGTAGTAGGGAGTGATCTTCAGGTAGACAGTAGGTGAAAGTGAGTGCAGATGTTTTGGAATGAATCTCTGAGGAATGAATCTCATAGTTGTGGGGGAGGCAGGAAGAGGAGTTAGTGACCCCATCACACCAGGTAATACAGTAGTTTAAGAAGTGGAAGGAGAAATAGAATGGTTTGGTGTCTCATACGTCAAAGAAGGAGAAAGCGTCAGGACGAAATAACGTAAGATTGGCTTAAGTGGGCATGGAGAAGCCGGTAAACACTGGATGCCATGGCACTTGCTACTTAAGATGACAGTGGTGAGTTTACTATATTGAGTAATTTTCAGTTGAAAGCCCTTTTTTCTTTTTATATTGCTATTACGTTATTTGAGGTCAAAATTAAGTGATGAATTTCCAAGTGTGGTTTGGTCTGTGTTTACACACGTCAACAGATATTTTTATAACTGGTGATTTAAAATTACAATGGGCATGTATTTTTGGAGTTTTGGTGCAATAGCAAAAAAAAAAAATCTGTTTTTACTCTAGGTTGGAGTTTTTATTTGCTGTCAGGCACTAAGTTGGAAAATGAGTCTGGAGGAGACGTAAGGTAGAACAAATTGAGGACTCTTGGTGGGGATGGCATTGGAGCAAGTAAAGGATTATGGCCTGTGGGATTTTTTAAGCCAGTGAGTCATTGCTACAAGTGTGTCAGCCTGGTTGGGATTTAAAGAATTCTTTCTCATATACGTGGATTCCTCTTTTCTTTTTGGAACTTCTCCTTAAGTGTATTTTCTCCTTTTTTTTTAATAGGCTGATTCTGAGGAGGACTTGGAGGAGCATTCCCAAGAACAAAGGTAAGAGGAACTAAAAAAAAACTCTTCTTGCTGAACTGGAAAGTGGCCTTGCCTGTTGTGGGATGTTATCTGAAATATGACTGGGATTGATGAATAGATGTGGTTATTTGAAATGCATATTCTTTTTTTTTATACTAAATTTTCTACATTACTTGTACCTACACTGCTCTAGTAATTAATACTGTATTTTTAAATGACTTCAAAAAAGCTGTGAGAAATGCGCCCAATCATCTTTTTATGCTCCTCTAGTGAATTTTGCTTTTTATTTACTTATTGCTTATATGTATTTGTAAAAATGTCTTCGTTTAAGAGTAAAAAGTCTTCACTTAGAAAAACATTTTTTGTGTGTGGGACTAGATGTAAAGACCAGATGTCTTGAGTTTTATTTGTTTTAGGGAAATAGTATTTTGTCAAATATCAATAATATTCATGCACTTTTTTTTTTATAAGATGAGACATAATATGGCATAGTGAATAGAGCCTTGGGGTTAGGAAGACCTGGGTTCAAGTTCTGATTATAGTACATACCAGCTGTGTGACTCTTGCAAGTCACTTAATATCTGTGTTCTAAGTAACCCCAAAAAACAATTTAAGTTGCAGATGAGGTACAAATCTGCAGTGATAGAGAGAATTCCCTCACCTGGAGTTCCCTCTACAAAGGAAATCATGGGTCCAGTCCTTGTTCCTGTTTTACAAGAAGAGTCTTAAAGTAATCGTTATATTTTGAATGCTCAGTTTCCTTAAGTGAAATGGTATTTTATGTTACTGGCAGGTTGAGCTGAGAACTTCAGCATTTCTCTACAAAGAGAAGTTGTAAGGGATGTGTTTGTCATTTTCAGGTATTTGAAGAATTATCATGTGACTTGTTCTGCTTGCTCCCAATAAGCAGAATGTGAACCAATGAGTGAAAGTTACAGGAAGCCAGATTTTAGCTTTGGTGGAAGAAAAATGCTTCCGAACAGTTATTCAGAAGAGGATTGCTTCTGGAGGCAGGGAGTTCTTCCTGGTCACTTGAAGTCTTCAAGTAGAGGCTGCTTGATTTCTTGTAAAGGACATTGTAAAGGAAGGTCTGTGCTTCAGGTGGAGGTCCAGGGATGGTGGTGGGGGGTGTGTGGAGAGAGATGCACTTGAAACTCTTTTCAGAGTCTGATTTGGTGATTTGGGCGGATGTTTGTTCCACTTACAAGATTTTCTATGCATGTAACATTCCTCTTGGAATTCAACCTAAGATGTTTGGAATACTGACCATTTCACCCTCACTTGTGTGTGTATTTGTGTAGGCACAATTTCTCAGTATCATGAGGAGATTTTAAAACCTAGTAGAAAAATGAGTGATTAAAATCTAATTTAAGTCACATGCCATTTTCCTCAGATCTCTCAATTTTCCAAGACTGGTGCCTCTGTTGTGTTTGGAAATTATTCCATGTGTAATTTTGTCTCCCCAAAGAGACAAATTTAGGCTTGGTGTCAGGAAAAAAATGGTTTTCACAATTAGAACTATAAAAATACAGTGGGTTGATGGATCTATTTTAGTCTATACCCATATATGTCTGTGTTATTTCCCCTGGCTAGAAGGGACTTTTATTTTTGGCTTTGAATTACTGGTGCCTGCCACATAGTAGGTGTTAAATGAACACCTTTTGATTGAATGATTGCCTGAGTTATAGAGGGGATCTGGTCAGCTATGGGTTGACCGCAGTGGCCTCTGGGCCCCCAATGTGTAATTTGAAATTGCAGTCACATTTGTGTTCCCCACTGCCATGGCAGTAACATAAAAATTGGTTCCCGGGTGCCCATTTTACCTTTGAGGTTGACCTACCAATTTGTATTCAAATTTCTCATAGGATCCACAGCTGGCTGGGCCTTTAAAAGAAATATAAGTTTAACCTTTTAAGTTTTAAGAATGAGGAAGCTGAGGTGAGAGATGAAGACACCAGCACATTGAGATTGTACAGGTCATAAGGAGCAGAGCTAGGGTTACAGCCTATGCCTTGTAGCATTCAAATCCAAGGTTCTCATCACCATGCTTCAGTGACTGCCCTCTTGGTTATTAGTTTTTAACGTATCTTCCCCTCCCATTTGGTTGATTTTTATGCTGTCTCAGTTTGACAGTGGGATTACTCAGTTTATTTTCATACATAAATCTTCCTTCCTTGGACCATCTAATAATAGGACATGGGAAACAGGGACAAATTCAGTCCATCATCTGGATCTTTTGTTTAGATTATATAGTGTTGAGCATTCAGTGTTTTCTCTGCATTGTATACAGTATTCGGGTATTTCGATGTTACCTACACAGGCATTTTCTCCTTGCTTTACCTTTCTTTTACCTGAGATTCTTGCCCCCAAGGAATTTACAGTATGGTAGGATATTAAGATGCCAGCACAGATAAATTACAATATAAAACATGACATGATGAGCATTTTGGGGAGTTTATGAGGGGAGAGAGTCTGGAGTTGTGATTTCATCCCTGTGGGGAACTCCTCACTTCCTGTGTGGATGAGCACCTTTGCTCTTTCTCCTCTTGGAGAGTTCCCTAGGGCACTGAGACGGGGTGACTTGCCTAGGTTCACACAGCCCATATATGTCAGAGTCAGAGTTTGAACTCCTGACTTTTTGATTCGGAGCCTAGCTCTCATCCATTACACTGAACTGCCTGTATAAATTCATTGAAGAGTTACAGAATGCTGTGTTGTTGGAGATTTGGGGAAGTTGTTACCAATGTGGGCAGGGAGGGGAAGGGCTTCAAGGGAGGTTTTTATTTCAGTTGGCTTTGAAGGGTAGGTAGGAATTCCAGCATCTCCAGTCCACTTGAGCAAACCAAGTGAATGCACAGAGGTTTAAACAAACACCTTTTTGGGTGCAGAGAACAACATCCAGCTTGGTTAGAGTACAGAATACATGAAAGGTAGTAATTTGACCTAAGACTGGACAGGTACCAGGGCCTTAAATTGGTATTTGCATTGTCCAGATGGCATTTCTCATTCAAGGCAGAGAAGCTTAAGTTATCCTAGTGCCACTGAAGAGTGATAACAATAGTAGCAGGCATTTATATAGCATTTTATGGTTTACAAAGTGCTTCATGTATATTATCTTATTTGAAGAATTAAAAATGGTGGTGTTGGGGGCTAATGGAACTAGATAATCTAATGTTTAGCCCCTTCCAGCGCTCAAATTCTTTGATATTTTTGGACCCTTCTGTCAAAATGTATTTTTTTGTTTCCCAAAGACATGATAGGGATGGGTTGATGTTAGTATTGTCACGTACTTGGTTTCCATTGTTGACTTCTGAGTTCTCCATAAGTGATTTCTGTAGCTGAGGTAGAGTGAGAGTGTTTTATATTGATGTTCAGCGTCTCATAAGGAGTGGATGCTGTTGATCCTTCACTTTCCGGGACACAATTTGGTCTCCCGTTTTACTCAGCAGTGATGAATAATGTTGCATTTTCCTCCTTTATTTGTGTTTGCCCATAGGGTTATTCATGAAGCAGTTTGTGCGCGTTTTCATAGCTCACAATGCCTGGTTTTCAAAAGCTTCCAGACTCTCTGTGTCTTAGCCTGCCTTTTGTTCTCTGGGGGATTGTGATGCTAGTGTTGGGGAGAGAAGACTGACTTGGGAATGGATGGGACTGATGATGGATTAAAAGTTGCCCGTGATTCTGTTTTCTTAGAATCTTCTTTTCTTCCTACACTTTAATATTAACTCTTTTGAAGTCCTGAGAAGGGGTCTTGACTGTTGTTTTAGGACTTCTGAGAAAAGAGAATGCCTTTAAAGAATGGATTGCATTAATAGAGTCTGACACTGAAGACAGTGTCGCCAGGAAAAGGACTCTACCCAGAGCCTCGTAGTTTTACAGGCCACCCTGAAAAGCTGGTTCTATTTCTTTGTAGATGGCTCGTGGCTGAGGTGGGTACAAGAACAGCTCCTGGGAAACTCAAGATTGCCGAGGTCAGTCCAGGACCAAGTCCCAGTTTCCCAAGTTCCCCCTTGGTACCACCTGAGTCCTTCTTGTATAGAGAATGATAACCATCGATGATAATGAGGAAGAAAAATTATGTTTATCTGGCAAGAACTGCCAATGGCTTCCATACTGGAGTTAGGACTCCTTTTTTCTAGATACTCTTCTGCCAACCCTTCCCCAGATTCACGAACTACAGTAGCCTGGAAGGTAGGAAGTGTAGCTGTGAGAAATTAGGTTATTTTCCTCTGTTATCTTCCATCTCTTCCATCTCTCTGTCTCTCTGTCTCTGTCTCTCTGTTTCTGTGTTGGCCCAGTGAACACACCATTTTGGTCCTCTTACCTAATGGTGCCCTTAGACCTCTGTCATGAAATGGTCAAGATTAATTCCTTCAACTGTTAACACCTTCTGTTTTTATCCTCACAGCTGTTAAATATTTATGTGAAACATCTCCAACCAGTCTCTCTAGGGAATTATTTAGCTTCATTGACATCATGTTCTAAATGTAAGTCCATTGAGGGCAGGGACAGTTTCTGTCTCTCTGTCTCCATCTCTGTCTCTCTATTTCTGTCTCTCTGTTTCTCCTTCTCTCTCCAACTCTTTCCCTTCCGTGTAGTAGGCACTTAATTAATGTTTATTTGAATATGGTGTATGTTTATAGTTGGAGACGTCCCAAAAAATCTCTCTCTGTTTTCTCCTCATCATTACCACTTAAATCTTCTGGTTATTTTCAAATGTTGTTATTAACCTGCTCCTTTGCTGGGCAGGAATGGGGGATGTGGTCATGAGAGCAGATGAGAAATAGCTTTAATTTTTTGTAGATACTCTCTTGCTGGTAGGGAAGTGTGTCCAAATTCTTCGTGTAAACTTTTTGTTAGCATGTTAGCAATGTGTGAAATTAATTAGAGCATTGGCAAAATAACAACACTGTGACATTTTCTTGTTTCAGATTTTTTTTTTCCAGGGAGATTGTCATAAGTAAATTGTAGTCATTGATTGGTGTTGATGAGAGGTGTTCAGAAAGTTGACTTTTATTTTA